TTATTTATTGGCTGGGAATAATGGCAGTTAGGCTCTTTAAATCCGCAGCTTATCCATAGTCTCCACTGTAGCTGGTAACTATTTTGTCAGCCCAAAGTTTGTGTTTTGAGACTGTTAACAGTGGTTTTTATTTATTTATTTTTAAATCTCACACTAGAATTTAGTTCCCGAAATGTTGAGCTAAAGCTTTAGGAATCTTGTGGCTCTAATAGCCACACAGCCTGTTGGTTGCACTGAGCAGTAAAGCTCCATTCCTGACTTAGAAAGCTGGTGACATATTAACTTACGGTGACAACAGAGCACCTACTTGTGTCCCGGTATCTTTTAAAGTCTGTGTGGTTGTTGCCTCAGGCTTCCTGATACTTCGCCACAAACATTCTCCATAGTTTGTTTTACCATATAAGGCAGGGTGCGTCCCTGGCAGCCAAAGAATGAAAAGTGGGTGCTGAAGGAAGGGGCATGGCCAGAGAGACAGACGGAGCAGTGAAAGAAAGAACAATCAAAGGGAGGAAATGAAAGGATGTTGGGCAGCGTACTTCCTGTCACCTTTTTTCAAGATCCTCATTTGCTGTATGATGAGTAGCGAAAGCTCGTCGTTAACCTTACTTCTTGTTTCTTGGCATTTATGCTAACATTGTTTTGACAGCGTGTTCGCTCAAAGGCTGTTGCTGCTGGGCTTGTGGCTGCACCGGCCAAGGTTAAATGATTTTCTAAAGCTGCAGAAGAGCCTGTGGCTAAAACTGTGCATTCAGGATTTACAGGAAAGGCTCTTCTTTGTTCACAGCTCAGTCAATTAGAAGCATGAGATAACCTGTGAATGCATTCATTTTTTTTCCCCTTTTAAACCTGACACAAGGGTGTCTGTGTCTGTATGGGGCTCCCCCACTCCCTGCCTTTTTTGCTATGAGCAGATGGCAGATAAGGCACCAGGTTGCACACATTTCTGTCACTGTCACCATACCGGTGTTAGCTGAGGTTTTTATGTTGGTCTGTTTTGATACTTGAATGTAGTTTACTGGGTAGGAGACTGGATAGTTGGTAATTATGTGTGTGTGTATGTTTGAGAGAGGCAGAGATTGGTGCAATAAGAGTGTCTGTTTGCATGTTTGCAGAGCGTGTGCGTGTCTGGAAGCGCATTACAGCAGCTGGTGCGCTAACGTAGCTGACCATTGCTCCATTCAGGACACAGGAAGTACCAATATCTGTTATTTCAGGTTGCAGTCGAATGCTAGGTAACGTTTCTGGGCGGCCAGATGTGGCGTCGATGGATGCAGACCTGTGCGAGCGACGCTGCTGATGAGATTTCAAGATGTTCTGAGTGATTTGTG